CGAGCAGAGGGTTTTGAGGCGGTGCGGGCAGGCTGCCCGCAGCAGTGAATGCACCCTTGAAGGTGTCCGAAGCAGTGAATGCACCCAGGATTCGCGAGCAGAGGGTTTTGAGGCGGTGCGGGCAGGCTGCCCGCAGCAGTGAATGCACTCAAGACTCGCGAGCAGGGCCTGTTTCAGCGTTCCGTCTCTGTCCCTACCCGCTCAAGTGTTTCATTGCTATACTCTGGTGCATCCAACCAATCAGTTTCTAATCCGTTCCGAGCGTCATAGCCATAGGCTACGGCTGCCGCTGTCGGCCTTTGCACCAGCCACAAGGCATTCTTTTCGCTCCTATCTTCCAGCTATTTACAGCGTGGCAGGGCGGACGTGCAAGGCGCTTAGGCATGAGCTCGTTGATGATCCGGAGAATCCTCGATTCGGCAACTCAAAACTGCTTACATGTGCATCCCCGCGCAAGCTCCCACAGCCAGCAGCTGACTTGGCGGCGAGTCTCTCAAGCCCTGCATGCGCCGCAGCACTTTTCACAGCTGTGCCTGACCGAACGCAGCAGATGTCATTCGTCGATTACGCTTGATGCAGGCGTGTGACGCTGTCTGTCGTTGAAGAAGGCTGGGACGCTCACAACCTCACTGTGAATGCTACTTCGAAATACTCACCAAGGGAGACATGTCACGTTCCTCAGCTGCACTTTAATCTTTTTACATCGTGCCGCGTCGTCCGAAAGTCTGCTCGTTGCCGGGCTTGCTGGAGGACATGTCAAATCTCATTCGCAGCCGAGAGAGGAATGCCGGTGAAGTTCGCGGGAGCTCGTTGCTCTGAGATGCGACATGTTGTTGGCAGTGCACCGAAGGTCTTCGGCGCAGATTGCTCAATGGTCTCGGCATGTGCCGCAACGCCTCGCAGCACCTCTGAGCACCATGGGATGCATCTCGCTGTTCTAGACCTGACTGACGTCGGATGTGCCAGACTCGCTCCGCAGGGCAACCAGAGAGGGTTTCTTGGCCTCGACTGCAACTTGTCTCGAATCAGTAGGGCCATCGGTCAAGTCAAGCAACTCTGCTCTGAAGCCAAGGGGCTCCACGCTGCTGTCGCAGCTTCGCAAAATTGGAAGCTCTGAGTGGAAGGAACTGATGGAGCAGCCTGAACTTCCATGCCGGCGGATGCCGATCGACCAATGTTTTGGAGTGGAGGTCCGATAGCAACTCGTCAAAATACGAGTGGACAGACGGTGTTGCCAGAAATGTGGACGTCGCCGTCGGGGCAAATCTGAGGCGCCAGGCCCGATACTTCCTAGGCCACTGAGCACTTCAAACAAACTACAAGCATCAACAACAGTGTGAAGCACAGAATTCTCGTCCGAGCTTCGCAGAGAAACGCTCTCTTACCTGCAGGCTTGGATACTCAAACTTCCCAGCCAGCAAGCCTGCCAACCATTCGGCTTGCACGAAGCTGGTAACGATGTCACAGGTGGAAAGGACACGCCCCAGGAATGCCAGATTGGTTATATCGCCAGTTGGCAGGATGAGCTTGTACAAGTCCTTGCAGCGCCAAGAATAGAAGCGAACTGCAAGCGGGTACTTGTTACTACCTTCGGGAGTCCAGACTTTTTGCACTTCACCGTTTTCCTGCAAAACATCTGAATCTATGCCTTCCCACAAAGATGCTGCATGCCGAGGGAGGCAGAGGCTGCAATACTAGGTTTCAGCTGATTCCATTGGGGCTGCGCAGATGGAACCGGTATGCCTTTGGGTCTGAAGCAATGCTTGAAGCTGACGGCAGCATTCCTCGACCTGCATGCAGTCGTCGTCACCGCTGTCGCGTACCGTCGTCACAGTTGTCGTCGCAGTCAATCGTCGCGCCTTGATCGCGTCGTCCTCGAAGCGTTTGTTGATGTTGGCTTCGGAAGGAGGTCACTGCTAGGCAGCATCAAACGAAGTCCCGGAAGATCCCGGAAGTTCTGCTCTCGAGCGCAACCCGGTCAGAAGCTCAACTTTGAAGTGAGCAGCCGGGCCGTCTTTTCGAGGATCGAGAAGCGCTGCCGCCTTCACGTCAAAGAGTTTGGACCACGCCTCCCGGTAGCCTGTAGCAAAAACGACCACGTCTGCAGAGATCTCCTCCCATCAGCTAATTACCACAGCTGCACTTCATGAAGTCTTGAGCTTGCGGACTTCAAGGCATGTTAGGAACGATGGGCCAAATACGTTTGCAAGGATTGCTAGAGATTGGGCGCATCCGGCAGAGCCTCTCAGCCTACACTGTCTGACGACAAGTTCAACCTTGCTAGCGAAAAGATGACTGCACGTGAAGGGCACCTTCTCCTGCTTCTGAATAGAGTCTTGTACGAGCACGCTGCCGCTCTTCATCTCAGAGATGTGTCCACGGATGCAGTGTGTCTTGACACTGCGGAAGACTGCCTCTGAAAAGGTGACAAAAAGTGCTTTCTCACGAGAAGTGCTTCAAAAGCTCCAGGCCTTGATCTTCGAAGCATTGCAAATGGAAACGGAATGTCCTCGGCAGTTACTCCGAGTCTTCCTTCTTCATGCTAAAGCACTCTCAAAGACAGTCGAGAAGCCATGCCACAACTGCCACCGAAGTCCATATGCTGGCCACATCGACCAAGGCAGGAGGAAGTGACACCTTGGAGCCACGGATCCTGCGGTTCAGAAGTGCCATGCAACTGAGCCAAGGCACCAAACCAGCGGCGCCAGCACCCACCACAGCCTCAAATCGCGGGCTTCAAAACACGCCGATGGCTTCCCTGGGCCCTGGGATGGCAGCCGAAGCACGCGGTCTGCAGGGGCAGCACTATGTATCCGAGTAGCCGCATCAGCAGGCCTCACCGTCTTCAAAAGTGTCGCACAGTGCCCAGAATTCCGCCAATAGCACTGCCCTCTGCCGAGTGCTGAGCAGACGAGACCCTCAAAGGCCCGCAAGCCCCAAGCTTTCAGGGGCCCTAGCCCTTGGCCACAGCACCAAACATTGGGCGTGCATCTCATGATGCGGCTGCGTGACAGGCGTTGTGGTACGGCGGAAACACCAGCTTGGCAAACCAGCCTGGGTCTGCACTCCACCATGTTTACGATCCCCAGAGCAAAAACATCAGTCCCAGATTGTCAACATGCTGCGTGTCGACGCGAGCCATTCCAACGGCAGGCCAAGAAAGCGCTGTGGCAGTATCCACGCCGGGCGACGTGCAATCAGGGTTACCTGAGCCGTCACATGCTTCCCGGAGTGTCTGGACTTCGAACCGTCACTCTTTGGGTCGGCGCGCTTTGCCACTTCTAAGTCGCTGCACTGGACAAGCAAGCCTCTCCTGGACATGCGAACCGATTGCTGATTCTGCTTCTGTAGATGCCAGGGCGAAGCAGTCAATAGCAGACTTGCCAAAGCCAACCACGATCACGTGACGCCCTCGCAACAGCTTTTCGTCTTGAAGCTCGGAGCTGTGAAGAATGCTGCCAGCAAAAGCATCGCTGCCAGGTATCTCGGGAACATACTTCTCCGAAAAGTTTCCAACAGCCAGGACCACAAAGTCAAATTCTTCTGTGTACGTCTCAGAGCTCCCTGTTTCAGAATACACGACGCGCCAACAGTGCGGACAGCGCTGCAGAAACTTTACTTCAGTTCGCGTGCGTATTGCAGGCATTAATCCAAACGTTTCCACATAGGTGTCGCAGTGGGCCTTCAGCTGTCGACCTGTAGGGTACGTGTCCAGGCCGCTGTGCCTGCACAACTCGACAAAGGAGTACTGGTCCCTCTTCACCTGCAAAAAAGTTAGAAATCATGCGCGCAGAAAGACCAAAAGTTTCTAAAGACAGTTGCCAACCTTGATCGCCAGATGAAATACATCGAAATCCGGGTCCCAGCCTGAGCCCCGAAGCCACTGTAGTTCTCGCGCCAAACACCACCAACTTCATCTGCACGCTCGAAGACCGTGATGGTCTGACAAATGCCGATCATGAACTCAGAAGAATGCCACAGACACTAGAAGGAAAAGTTCTACTGTTCTACTGAGGCTCTATGTCTACTTTGATGCAATGCTCATCTCTCGCATATTCTCGTATTCTCGAGGTCGGGCAACCCACCGGGAGCCTTTACAGAAAGGGACTGGGCACCGTATGAAGTGAATGCTGTGATGACCAGCTGGACAGCATTAGACTCTACGCTTGTTCTCCTTTTCCTCAACTGTTCGAAGATCACCTGGCAGATTTGCCGAAGCTTACCAGCACTGGGCCTGTTGACCCCTTCTCTGAGCCACGGCCAAACAAAAAAGACGACGGGACAGCACCATCAGGCCCTACCACCGTGGCACGAAGAGACACCCACAAGGCAAGCATCATAGAGATCCTTCCGCCCAGGCTTCAACACAGCATCCATCATCATCATCATCATCATTCATCAGCTCGGCCACCGTCCCATTAAGAGACTTCCACAAGCCCAGCATCATGAGCATCA